CGATGATAATAGGTATAGGTGTCTTTGGTGTTACTTTGGTAGTTTGTGGAACAATACGACATCAAGGTCGATACTCGAAATGGGACGTTGTTTAAATGGTGCGTAATGTACGGTTTTAGGTGATGTTGTTAATATCGTGGTTTTAGGGGTTACTAGTAACACCAAATGTGATGTTGTGCATTATGACAGACATATAGTGTTTTAGTTAATGTTTGTATGATTGGTTATGTCTCATGTAATGTTATTATTTTCGCAGGTATGGGGGTTACCAGTGGTTGCAAATATGATATTGTGCATGTATATAATCTAACTGACGTATTGTTTTCATTTAATGTTGTTATGATTGTTTGGATCTCTTACAATGTTAGTATTGTTGGAGGCCAGTAGGAGGATAACATAAATAATGTAATACCAAGTAGGTAACATCAACTATTCCCACAATCATTCCATGAAATTCCTAAAAAAATGGAAATGTTAAATCATATCTTGCTAGGGGTGTTCGTCGATCGGTTTTGTACGGTTTGCGATTTGGTTTTGACCCGCCCGCATCTATGCAGTTTAGGAAAAAGTCAACCCGCAACCGCCCGCAGTGCGGTTTGCGGTTTGTGCGAATAGGGTTTGTAGATGTGTGGGCGGTTGCGGGCGATTTGCGGTTTACACTTTTTTCTTTAAAAATTAATTTTTAAGTTTTTTTTTCCCATCAAATTTAGGCATTAGATTCATTTTGTTATATTTGTGATCATTTGACAACAATTTTCTGATGAGTTTACAAATAAGAATTGAATATCACTAGCATTTTTGCCATGAAAAAAATATATATCAATGCATTAAAGGTTGTACTCAATTAGAATTGCCAATTCAGAAATCAATAATCAAACTAGAAGCTTCATCGACCATTAAAAGAAAAATTTTATTAAGAAAAAGTGGATGAGTCATCAATGAAAATCATATAAGAAACCAAGTTTAAGACGTGATAATTCTACGACATTAAGAAAGTTGAGAAATACTTAAAAATAAAGATCTTAGTGTCATAGAGAACATAATGGTGCTCCTGTTAAAGTTACAAAATTGATATATAAACAATAATAATAATTAAAGTACGGGCGATTTTTGTGGGTTGCGGGTTTAACCCGCGACCCGCCCGCAATCCACAAATTTATCATATTTCAAACCGCATCCGCCCGCATTATGTTTGCGAAATCGCTCATTTATATGCAGGTTGGGCGGGTTGAGCGGTTTGAGCAGTTCGGATAAACCGTTACCCACCCCCATATCTTACCCACATACACTCAAATCCCAAAAAAAAATTAAAACCAAATCTCAAATAAGGGCAAACAAATAAATTCTAATAACTGAATTAAATCAATAATACATACTACAAATAAAAAAGACTAATTGGTTTATAAAAAAACATATAGGACTAAATAGACTCCCAAATGGGATTTATGAGTAATTTTTCTCAAAAATAACTACCAAACAAGATTTTGTTTTCCATTTCTATTTTTTTTTTTGTAAATATAAATAAAATTATAACCATAAACATTTATGTGTCGCGTGGCAACCAACATAAAAAAATTTCCCAAAAATTAGATGGACGTTGAGAATTGAATCAAATTACAAACAATAAGATAGTTTAAGAAATAAATTGGAAAAAAGAAAACAAATTTGAGGAGCAAAATGAAAAATTGTTCATACTTTAGGGGCAAAGTTTTAATTTATTCAACATGAATTTATCAAAGGTTTTGAGGTTTGTGAGGCATTTTGAAATGGGGGCAGAACCTTTCCCAATGGTCTCTGTTTAAAACAGTTAACAATTTTTATTTATTTATTTTTATTTGGTAGATTGGGTAGGAAGAAATTAATCCCATTGGCAGAAGTTTTTGCTAGCCAACAATTGACAATTCGGTTGAAAATAATTTTATAACAATTATAATTGAATTTAGTTGAGGTTGAAAAACAAAAGTCTTCTTACTTTTGACATGACAAGGAATTTTCAAACATTATTTTTGTAAAAACGTAAATTTTGATTACTAATCACTTATGTTTCAAAAAAAAAAAAACTCATATATAACTAAAAAAAATATCTTAAAACAATATGTTACAAATATTAAAAAAAAATATAGTGTATAGTGTATATTCAAATTTGAAAAAACATGACTGACACTCGAAATAAATTTAATTCACATATTTTATTTTAATTTTTTTTTTAATGTGTAATATTGTTGCAAGACAAATTAGAATATGATTATCATTTTTCTTAATTTTTTTTCCCCCTCTTTGTCCATATGTGTTTTGGATGTTTCTGTCTAATTTGGGAATATAGAGTAGAAACCTCACCTCCTAGACAAGTCTCTCTCATCATCTCAAGGAGAGAGAGAGAGAGAGAGAATCAATGAATTTGAAGGTCAGGTAAAAGAGATAATTTGAAGTTGGTGATAAACTATGGCCTAGTTTGGGAAGATTAAAAAAAAATAAAAAGTTAAAAAGTCACTATCCTATTTAAGTCACATCATCTTATTTAAATCACATCACCTTTCTAACACATCACTTCAAACCCAACCTAAACCCAACCCATATTTCATAAAAAGTCAAAAAATACACTTATTTAGTCTTTCCAAACTAGGCCTAAGTGATGTGTCCCAGCAAAATTCCAAAAGGAAATTTGACAAAAATGCTCTGCATTGAATAACAAAATGTCAAGGAGATAGGGGACCAAAAAGTATCTCTCACATGATCTCAAGGGGCCACACCACCAGGATTCTCTTTATTCTATGTCTTTTAGGCTTCTTCTTCCATGCTCTATCTCTCTCCTAATCTTTTACATAATTGAGAAAAAAGTTTTAGATTAGAAAAACAAACTCATAAATTAACTCAAAAATATAAAATTTTGTTTGTCAATTATACATTTTAGTTAAAAAGTCAAAAGTTATTATAAGTTGTCACAACATTCTTTCTATTTTTCTACACATTTTTTCGTAAAAAATTAAAAAATTATTAAAATAGTTTGTTTCTAAACGAAACCTAAATTTGTGGTGTAGATGAACCTTAGTTTTTTATTTGTTTTTTGGGTAATTTATTTTTTATTACTTCCATATGTCTAAACTAATATAATGTGAGTGTTTGATGAAGATTATTTTAAGCTAAAAACTGATAATTAGAAAGCAAAAACTCAAAACATTCCTCTTCTAACTTCTGAAAAATCAATTTTTTTTTTTTAAATTTATTTGAGCGGCTCAGTAACAAGAGAGAAGGCTAATTCTAAATACATAAAATTTACTTAAATAAGTTGGTTATTAAAATCCATTTTCAACTTTGTTTCCTTAACCACCAAAGTGGGCTTAGGCCCACACCAAATGATGCAGTTCCAAAGGTATGCTCCACAACTGGTACAATAATGTTGTGGATCTGAGCCCCGCCCATAAAGAATATGGATATGGCCTAATCTCTTTATTTTTAGTTGGGCTGCCCCAGATTGGCCCAAAATATGGATACCACAATTGTCCAATTCATACTTTCATTAATTTGCTTCATTTATATTTGACTATGAAGGGTTTGCAATTAATGTAATTGTATTTATTTATTTATTTATTTTTTATGTTTGAATCTAAGGTTTTAAGGGACCCGGACAATAGTTCAAGTCATAGTTGTCAAGTGAGTAAGGTTTCAAATCTGAATCTATGAAAAAATGTTGGTTTGTGTTATAATCCAATATACGAACCGATACCTTTGTAGAAAAAAAAAAAAAAATATATATATATATATATATATATTGTTTGAGGAGGGATTTGTACAAGGAAAGAAAAGGAAAAGGGAAATATGTCAAAAATTTTAAACCTGAAATTAAATTCAGCCAGGGCCTAGACATGAGCTCTCACAATACAACCCAAATTTTATTGCTAATATATAAAAAACTATATTAATAAATAAAATAAACATATAAATATTGATTATTTTCTCGCCATTGGATTAATTCATATTGCATTGTATTATATTTTATTTCTTGGTATTCATAACTCAAGCTAATTTTCTTATTATATTTCATATTTGTAATTTTTTAAGATATTTTTTCTATTTTATTTTCAAAAAGTGCAACACATTAGTTTATTATGACAACCAACGCTAATTATTTGTGTGGAATTTGAGCAACCCGAACTGCTCCAAAAAAAAAAAAAGAACTTGGGCAATCCGAGCCCAACCCAAAATCATTGAGATAAACTCAGGCTTGGGCTTGGACAAGTTAGGTCCGGTTCGAGCCGAGACCCCTTCAAATTGGGCTTGGACAGACCCTTAGCCAACGGAATCCGGCCCGGCCAAGGGCCCATATTTGTATTACGTTCAGATAGGGATGGGGACCAAGTATGGACAGAACACAACTTTTTTTGCCTACAAATTAGCCAGTATCACAGTCCAACAAATCATAATTTTGGATTGGGCCAAGGGTGAGGCCCACAGTTCAAGCCCTTTATCAAGAATTTGGAATTATTTGATTATATAACTTGCTGTACCTCCATCTTAAAATTCACAAAGACCCAAAACATAAAAAAAAATAAAATCACAAACTGACTGAAAAAAGAAAGTTACAAAAAAAAAAAAAAAATTGTGTAGAAATAAAATTTTTGTATAGAAAAATCACATGATAGCGGTAATTTTAAAATTAGGAGCAATAAATGCATCAATATGTACGAAAACTCTGTTTAAATAGCTCTACTTGAAATTAATTTGAATAGAAATTAGAACATTGAGTTTTGGGTTAAAAAAACCATGTGGTATTGATAAGTTTTGTAATTAAAAGTTATTTTAGTGAATTTTTTTATTTAAACCCATTAATTATAATTTAGTCATATCATTCTTCATATAATTTCTATATCCGTGAGTAATTAAAGGTTAACTTAAAGTAAATTAAGGCCATATTAAAGAGGGAGTTTTCTAAAGTTTTGGGCCCTCCTAAACATGTTCAAAATATACTTTGTGCAAAATTGACAATAAAGATATAAGAGAAATACTACAAAATGTATAAATTTCTCTTTTTTCCTCTTTAAAGTGCTGAAATGCAAAAACAAAGAGACAAGAGGGGAGCAAGAAATTACAAGAAAATGACAAGAAAGAAATAGGAAAAGGACAAAATCAAAACTAAGAGAGAGAGAGAGAGAGAGAGAGAGAGAGAGAGAGTTCATATAACCTCTCAACATGAAAACTTTTTTTTTTCCTCCTCCACTATTGCACAAACCTCTAAGAATTCACTTAGGCGTGACAAAACTAAGTGGGGTGCATTATCATGATCATGATGAAAAACCCCCCAAACACACCATCTTTTTTTTTTTTTTTTTTTTAGATATTTCTTTTTTTTTTTTTTTTTGATGCATGCCTACCAATTATCATTATCATCATCATCAGCTATACCTTCCAATCCCCAAATTTCACCACTTCTATCATTCTAGTACTCACATCCATCATCATCTACCCACCATACATGCATCAACATCACCATGCATCCATCCATCATGAGCCCTAATTTAAAAAAATAAAACTAATTAAACCCTAAAAACTCCCTGCTCCCTCTCTCTTCTCTTTTAAACTTCTTAATGTATTTACTGTTATCACCACCATCATCATCGTCGCTGCTGTCACTATTAAATTTTACTTTCGACGAGTAGTAAATGTCTGGAATATGACGTTCCCAATGGTTGGGAACTCGTCCACTGCGCAACTCCGGCATTTCCATCCGAGCGGCTCTAGGGCGGCAGCAACACGTGTCCAGACCTCGTGCTCAGCGCATGTTATCGACACTGACATTGTCGCCGGCCGAAAAACTAGCGCTGCTTTCTTTAACACCTCGACAAGATTGTTGCGGTGGTCATAAATTGACCCAACGCACTCGAAGCTTGCATAGCTAAATCCATCCTCCGGCGTGACGTGAATTGTGGAGTACCGGTCGCCATCAAGGCTATTCATTGAATACCCGCACGGATCGAACGCAAAGTCACATATAATAGCATTTGGGTTGATTTCGCCGATACCCGTTATCTCCGTCATCTCTTTCCCGGCCGAGTCACCGGATTTACCGTCATTGGGCCGCCGGAAAAATTTCCTAGCAAGCACATGGTCGAGCTCGGTCATGCAGACTTCAATGGTATATGACTCCTCAGGCATGTGTGAGTGAGACTCCTCGTCGTCACTAGCAGTGAACACATGCCATGAATGAGATGATAGCTTCGATGGCATGACCGTTGCTTTTCTATAGCAAAGATGACTTGGCAAGCTCTCTTCCAAGTACATGACCTCTTCTCTGAAGCTAGTGTGAGGGTAGGGTTGGGAATTTGGGAAAATGAAGCTGCCTCGGGTGTACCTACACCCGCATAGGATCAGACCCAAATCACAAGCATAGTTTAGCAAGGGACGGATAGATTTCAACAGCTGGGTGGTCCCACATGTCTTGATGATGATTTTTGTGGGGTACACGAAAAGGCTCGACTCGGATAGTACGTACGAGTCGAAATATTGATTTCCAACCGCCGACACTACAGTGCATTGCACAGCATGTAGTACTTTTTCTAATGACTCGAATTCCAGTTGGCGAAGTCCGAGCCCAGCCGGATCATCGCCAGAGAACTGGAGCTCGAGTCGTTTTTCGAAACCTTCAAACCCAGAAACTGCCATTGGAGATAGACTATCTAGTTTTAGATAGAATTGGAAATGAATATATGAATAGGATTGAGATTGTGATGAAGATTGAAGATTGAAGAATGGACTACAGGGTGGTGGGAGAGAGGAGTGAGGGGAGGGAAGATATATATAGGGGGATTGTGTGTACGAAGAGAGAAAGAGAAATGGGAGGAGACAGAGAGAGAGAGTGGGGAGGGCATGCGGGTGTGAGGCAACCAAGAAGAATGATTGCAAGCATCATCAATACATGATGATGGTTCATTGTTGTGTGTGAGAGAGATCTTTCATCAGACAGACAAAGGAACATCCAAACGTAATTCATGCCCACGCGCACTCTAGTTTCTTGGGAAAATTTTCTTTCTTAGGCTAGAAAATTAAGTAAAATTTTCTCTTCCTGGATAATCATAGCTTTTTGTTGATTATGCATGACACTGCTTAGTTAAGACTTTTAACATTGATATCAAATCAAGTTTCTAACCCATGAAGAAAATTTTATGTCTTCAGTGCTGCATTTAATCCAACTTCACTTTTTCAATCCAAATTACATATTGGTAAATTTTAATTTGGAGTTTTATAAAAAAAAATTATTAACAGATGTGACACCCATAGATGAAGCTTTAGAATAGAACACACTTGAATAATTTTTTTTACTAGTGAATGTGACACCCTGAGATGAAACTTTAGAATTTTAAACGAAATTCCAATGAATAATATGATAAGAATAACTCGGATGAACAAGATAAATAAAAATTTGTTAATGGTATAAATTTATATAACATTATTTTTTATTTTCTAACCCATGAAGAAAATTTTATGTCTTCAGTGCTGCATTTAATCCAACTTCACTTTTTCAATCCAAATTACATATTGGTTAATTTTAATTTGGAGTTTTATAAAAAAAAATTATTAACAGATGTGATGTGACACCCATAGATGAAGCTTTAGAATAGAACACACTTGAATAATTTTTTTTACTAGTGAATGTGACACCCTGAGAAGAAACTTTAGAATTTTAAACGAAATTCCAATGAATAATATGATAAGAATAACTCGGATGAACAAGATAAATAAAAATTTGTAAATGGTATAAATTTATATAACATTATTTTTTATTCTAATCATAGCCTAAGTAAGGGAGTACTTTACTGCCCATAAGTTGAGAATTTTAAGTTCAAGTTTGAGTCAATGAAGTGAGAGTAATTTAACTCTACTAATCTATTGCTATACACTAGTAGACATTTTCCATCAACCTACGTAATTACAACAATGCTAGGTAGCTTAAAATATTGTAGCTCAAATGACTCAAATCACTCAAAACGACGTCGTTTTGAGTGTAAATGAGTGTAAAACAACGTCGTTTTGACAGATTTGAGCCATTTGAGTCACAAAATTTTGAGGTACCAAACATTTTTCATGTAATTATGGATGAATTTGTGAGACTAAAATTATGGGTCTCTAGCACTTCTCATATCGCTTATTGGAATGGGATTCTGTTTGTTTCAACATTATGATTCAAAATTATAAAAATGTCCTTAATACATCACTTTGTATGAATCTTTATGTGTAAAAATTATGTTTTTAAATCATTTTCTTTTTAACTTACCGACAATAGATGTATTGTTGGAGACAATTATGTACAAAAAATCTAAAAGAAACAACTATTGAGTAATATGAGGATGAGAGTTGATGAAAGATGTTCATGACAAGCAAAGAGAGAAGCTTAAAAAAACAGAGACATAATTATAAGAAAAACAAAGAGAAAGATGCTTCAATGCATGACAACAATTATTAGAGATCCTACGAGGAGGCAAGCTTATTATTATTATTATTCTTTTTTTTGCCGTTTATAGGTGTTATCAAGCGAACTCACAACAAAAGCTTCAAGGCCTAAAAAACAAAACACAGAAGAAAAATAAAAATACTCAAATCAATTAAGCCCAGTGACATGAGCATGTATTCTGAAAACAGGGCACTCTGTTTTTCAATTATGGCTCTGTAAAAAACATTACAATAAATAAATAAATAAAACCCAATTTTACATTGATGTTTTAAAAAATTATAACCCTAAAGACTCCTAAAATATGCAGTAAAGCTGTGTACCCATAAAAACAGTATCAGAATTTTACTCATATTTAATTTTTATAATGTGGTTTCATTCCATATATAAAAATGAATCTAAATTATTCATTGATGTTTCTGGATAAAAGTTTTGGATATTTATTATGACTATAAAATATCACTCTTAAATTTATCCACACATTGATGTAATAAAAGATTAGGTGTTGGCTAATTCCTAAACATCTCAATAACTAGGGCTTCAGTGGATCGGATTTAATCCGAATCCGTTTATTAAATGGATTGAATATACAAAAATCCGATCTAATTCGATAATTAGATAATCCGATCCAATTATTCTCAATTTGAACACAAAAAAAAAAAAAAAACACAAAATAAAAAAAAAATCAAATTATTTACAAACGTAATCTTCATACAAACAAGTAATGTAGAATGAGGTGGCAAATACGTTTTGAAGTAGAAATGATATGCATAAAGGATGTTTATACATAATTTTTAAGAAGAATGGTGTGATAGTAATATTTTTTTAAATATAAATTATCTTAATGATTCTTTTAATTTTAAAATAATAAAATCAAAATTTATCATATTATTATTTATTAATTATATATACAACTTTTATCTTTGTATGTAATTACATTTATAATTATTTTAATTTTAAATAAAAAAATTCGCATCAATTTGTATGCTTTTGTACACAAATTTTGTTTGATGTTTTATTTGTATAATAAAGAGGGAGGAGAAGACAAGTGATCAAAGAGGACAAAATTGTCTTTTCAGAAGTAGGCAGGTGGGTATGTAACAAAAAAAGCTAAGATGTGTCCAAAAAATCATCAATTGTTTTCAGAAAACATAAAAAAACAAAAGAGGAATCAGGCGTGGCAGCTGAATTATGAGAATATTTATGAATTAGGGGTTGGGGTCCTGAAATCAAAGGCATTTTACATCATTTTTATGCTCCATGCAATGCCATTATCATCATTTTTTTAAAAAAATATTTATCAATGCAAAATACTTAAAATCAAAATTTGTAAACTTCAAATCCTATTGTTCCCTCCCAATTCCCTGTTCTCATCAACCGTAATATTAAGAATACAAAATGAGTTATGGAATAATGAAAGATTGAAATTAAAATAGTTATAGAAAAGTATATAAAAAAAAGTAATGAGGAGATTCTCTTCCATCTTCATCTAGACTAGAAGGACATTGTTTGGCTAGTGGTAGAGTCTATCACGAGTTCTGTTTTGATAATTAAATTCGTTTATTTTTCAAGAGTCTTTGTATGTATCATTTATAATAAAAAAAAAATTAAGTTGATATACACAAAATTTTTTAAACATGAGTGATTTTGATCATCAAAATAAGACCCGTATTAAGTTTTATGGGCTTGTACAACACCTCTCCAATCCAAACAAGGACGGGAGAGAAACCCATCCCTTCAAAATAAATAGAGCAATTGTTATCCAAGTGCATACCCTAAATTCGTAAATTTTCATAAATATACGTAAGTTATCTCACAAAATCACGTAAGTTATCTCACAAAACCGCGTAAGTTTTCACAAACATGTGTAAGTTAATCATAAAAAATTGAGAAATCACAACTTATGTATATTTGTGATAATTCACGCGATTTTATAAGATAATTTATGTATATTTGTGAGAATTTACAGAAGTATATATGATATGCACCTTATACACGCAAACACTACCCAAATAAATATCATCCTACCATTGCAATATGTGATGAAAAAAATGTTGTAAAATACATAAAAAATAAAAATAAAAATTCCCATACACATAAGTAGACACAAATATCAAATTGCATATCATTGTTTGTTAGAATGTTTACTTGGCTTTAGGATTGTATGAAGATTTTTGTTCCCATTGTAGTAAGATTGTGGACGATTATTACATAGCTTTAGGAGGTAGTAATGATATTGCCTAGTACTTTATTACTACCAAAAAAAAAAAAAATTTCCCCTTGGCTTTTAAGACTAGACACACAAAGTTACTTTAGTAGTTAAATTCATCTTATTAGGCTTAGCTTTATGATTATTGGATATTATACCTTGTATGTACACCTAAGGCTATTGTTAATTCGAGAATAGAATCATGTGAGATAACTAATCTTGTCGTGTTGTGTTCAGTTTATAAATATGATTAGATAAAAGATAAGTTATTTCGAGAATAATATTTTAGTCATTTTGTGAAGCTTTATTTAGGATGAAAGGGTGCTAAATACTCTTGTAACAATTCTCTATGCATTCACCATACAAGAGCTTATTTCATAAAGTAAGAGAATCTCGATACATTTAGTTGGTGTATTTAGAAATTTTGTATTTGTATTTGTATTTAGAAATTTTCAGCCAAGACAAGATAATCTTGCATATTTAGGATAAAAGTAAAAGGCTTCAATAATTATCCTAAGATGAAATAATCTAATCTTAAGATGAAATTGTTGCGGGATAAAAACACAACACAATAAGAAGAATCAATCACAAACAAGCGAAGTATGATACATAAATATACATAATGCGGCAAGATTGCTAACGGTCACAACTCACATCAAATTTCACTATATTAAAAGAACACAAATATACATGATGTGGCAAGATTACTTGTAGTCACAACTCACATCAATTTGAAAATAAAAGTACAATATGACTATTTGTATAAACATCAATATGTATATACTAAGGTTTACATCAATATATTACTATAACACTCTAAGTTAGATTTGTGACAACACAATAAGATGTATATGGCCAATCAGACTCAACAAATCTTATAAAAATAATCTAATCCCAACCTTTTTATCTGTGAATCAAACATGGTTCAAGGATGAACTTAAAAAAAATAAAAATAAATAAAATAAAATGGTCCAAGGAGAGAGTATGTGGCAAGAATGAAGAGAGAGAGAGAGAGTAATGATGTGAAAATGTGAGTTTAGGAATAAAAATTTGGAGGTTTGAGAGACAAAGAAATGATTCAAGAAGGTATGTATGTGTGATGAACAAATCTTATGGGGGGGTTGTTGAAGCTGGCACCCTCTCTCCTGCCATTATGACCACATCCCACATCTTGGTGCCTGCACGCCTACCCATACACAAAACTCAAATAGATACACACTCATACACATATATATGCACACACCAACCAATAGATATTCCTTCCTTCCATTCCACCTATGAATAATGAATAC